AGCCTTCTTGTGGAATTATAATGTGCTGAGGGCATCACGTGAAAAAATGGAGCAGTGTGCTCCCAGGAGTCTCTTCTTAAAAAGCTGCCAGTGTTATCATGGGACCCCTCCCTTGTGACTTCACCTAGTCGTAATTATCTCCCGAAGGCCCTATTGCCAAATATCATTAACAAATGAATTTGGAGGTTAAGTTTCTAACATGTGGAACTTCAAGGGATACATTCAAAACCGACAGCAGGAAGGTTTTGTGAAAGTATACAGAATGGACTGGACCTTAAACCATGGCTAGGGTGTAGATCAGGAGTTTAAAACTGATATGCAATGTCCTTTTAAAAAGTAAATTTAGGGCCAGGAATATAGCTCAGGAGCCCAGTGCCTACCTGGCAAGCATGAGGCTCTGAGTTTGATTCCTGTTACCAAAAAAAAATTTAAATGCTCTTAGACACGCACAATAGTGCCTTTCCTGTCAGGTCTGGGAATTGAAGGTTCCCAGCTTGGGTCACCAGTTCCCATTTACATAGCTTGAATATGGAAGCCGTGGGTTATTGAGTCAACCTCTCTCAGTCTCAATTTCCTCCTTTTTGTAATGGAATTGCAAGAGCAGTTTAGTAGTTAGCAGGCGTTGGTGGGCTGGGGAGATAGCTCAGTAGAATAAGCGCTTACCTGACAAGCACACGGGCCTGAGTTCAATCCCCATTTCCACAAAAAAAAAGTAGTTAGTGGCATTAATTCTTTGGTATAAATGCCTAGATCAGGGCCAGTACATAATAAGTCTTACATGCCCTGACCCCCACTGCCACCCCTCTTCTCTCCTGCCTAGGAGCTGTACGAGGCTGTGGCACAAGGCACTGTGTCCCCTGTGGCTGACACAAGTCAGAGGCCACAGAGCTGGACACCTCGACTCACCTCGGAAGCTGTCTCTGTGCTCTGGGATCTGCTGAGGCAGGCTCCTGAGCCAGCACAGGCGCTGCTGGAGCTCCTGCTTGGGGACGATGCCGGCGTCAGCCCCTGTCATTGGCCCCTGCAGAAGGCACTGGTGGACCTCATTCGAGAGGCGCTGCAGGCTCTGCAGGGGCCTGCCTCTGGGCCCCCTGGGGTCGTCGATGCCATCTACAGAGCGCTGCGGACTCTGCGTTGCCCTGCAGAGTCCCCGGGGGCCGAGTTGCGTGCCCTGTGTGAGGAGCTCCTGGAGGCCTGCGAGGCCGAGGGCAGTCCCCTGAAGGAGGAGCGGTTGCTTGGCTGCCTAGCACACAAGGCTGGACGGGGCTTGCTGTCCCTTTATGGCCACACCTATGCAGAAAAAATCCTGGAAAAGCCACCCAGGTCCGCAGCATCAGGGAAAGGTATGTTTCATTTGCCATTTTTTATTGCATTTTGGTAATTCCAGTATGCCCAGCCCCTCTGAAGTTCCCCTAGACCTGTGATGGCAAACCTTGGAGAGTTTTCAGTACTACCAAGTGGGCCACTGCAGCACACTGCTGTGGGCTCACCACCACTGCTCTGGACTGATGCTCACTTGTTTGGGACAGTAATAGGAGAGGCCAAGCAAAAATGGCTAAGACTTACACATTTTACCCATTACCCAAGACAGAGCAATGGAGGAGAAAGTAACAGCCATAACAGGAAAGCACTTTGCAGAAGCTACTAAGAGAAGTAAAACGTCTTTAAGAAAAAGCATAGGAAACTTGGTTTCAGTTTTTTAAACAACCTCCTCTTACATCAGCTGAATTTTTTTTTTTTTTTTTTTTTTTTTTTTTTTTTTTGGCAGAACTGGGGATTGAACTCAGGCCCTTGCGCATGCCAGGCAAGCGCTTACCCTACTGAGCCATCTCCCTGGCCCCATCAGTTGATTTTTCAAATGGGCTTTGGCTTAGATAAGAAGGGCTCATCAGGTCCCAGTAATGGTTTCTGGTTTGTGTTCAGTCTCCCCGGATCATCCAGATCCTGAGCGGACAATGCTGACCCTGTTCTCCGCTCCCAACCCAGCCCAGGCTTGGAAAGTGGCTTTTTTCTACTGCCTGAGCAACAGCAAGCACTTCCTTGAGCAGATTCTGGTAAGTCAAGCTTCATTGCCACGTGCCCCATCACAGAAGGATTCCAAACTCTTCCTGGGCTTTTCCATTCCTCCCTCACCTTCCTGTCACTCACTTGTTTGACATAAGCACCCTGACTCATGGTGAATCACTGGTTCTGTCCGTCCCACACTCCCAGAGGAGTGGAGATTGGGAGTCAGTCCCATTCATAATCACAGTGGTAATCGCTTTCTGTTGGTCCTTTGGCACAAAACAAGTTGTTAGCTATGTCTCAGCTTTCTCAAAGGGGTAAGAAAAAAAGCCATGGCAGTACTACATGGCATAACTGATGGGAGAGTTACTTGAAATGTTTCCTTTAAGATAGATGTAGTGCCTGTAATTCTAGAACTTGGGAGGCTGAGGCAGGAGGATTGTGGTCAGTTCAAAGCCAGCCTATGGTTCATAATGAGTGCAAAGCTAGCCTGAACTATATAGCAAGAGTCTCTTAAAAAACAAAAATATAACCGGAGATATAACCCAGTGCCATAAGTGCCTGCCTGGCAAGCTCAAGATTCCAAGTTCATTCCCTGGTACAGGAAAAAATTTGTTTTTTTCCTTCCACAGCATAGTGCTCCCAGGAACCAGGGCTGGTATAGCATGCAGTACCAGGGATCAAACTTGGATCCTTGTGCTTGCCAGGCAGGCACTTAGACCACCAGGCTATCTCCCCAGCCCCTGTCTTTTTTTTCCTTCCAGACTGCAGCTGAACTTCATTCAGCAGATATTTCTGAAGCTTTTCCTGTGTGTGTGTCCAGTGCTAGAAGCTAGGATTACTACAGAAATTACTCATTCTTTGCCAATGAGAGCTTCCATTGTTATCTTGTGCTTTTGTGAACATGAATTGTTTTCCACTGCCCACTTTGCAGTTATCAGAAATCTCCCCGCTGTACTAAACAGCTTCTTTGCCTATTAATGAGCAATATGCTGGAACTCTCTCCTAGTCCACATAGCGGCTGACAGTGGCCTTCTTTGGCTTATAGGTGACAGCACTAACTCTGTTGAAAGAAGAAGACTTCCCAAACCTTGGTCGCCTGCTGGATAGAGAGTTCAGGCCTCTCAGGCACCTGCTCGTGCTCCTAGGCTGGACACACTGCCAGAGCCTCGAGTCAGCAAAGAGGCTGCTCCAGACGCTGCACAGGACCCAGGTAATGCTCTCTCCTAACTCTGCCCTGGCTGCTGTGTGCGTGAATGCCAGGAGGCTTTGGGATTCAGTGGAACGTGAGGTTGGTCAGTCTCTGATGTCAGCTACTTGCGCAAGCATCTTCCTTGTTGACATAGGACCAAGGCCACGATGAGCTTCTCAGGGATGCCTGTGACGGACTGTGGGCCCACCTGGAGGTCCTAGAGTGGTGCGTACAGCACAGCAGGTATGGGCCTGGATGCTTAGCCCCTTCCCACCATCTGGCACACCTGACCTGTGCTCCCTGTGTGTGGCCATTTCAAGACCTTTGCATCAATATTTTGAGTTGATGATGTTGACCAGTCATGGATAATCGTTCCAGCTAAAATTGGGGGAAAAAACCCTAAGTTGATGATTATCTTCCCTGCAATCTGATGGATGACAGTAATAAGAATAAGAAAAGCTTGCAGTTCCTAAGCACTTGCTATATGCCAGGCATTGCTCTAAGCCCTTTACCTGAATAATTAAACCTCACTACACCTGTATAAGGTAAATACCAATACTACCTTCATTTGAAAGGTAAAACAACTGAAGCCTGGAGGTGTTAATAATGCCCAAAATTACCTAGCAAGTAAGTGTCATCTGTATCCTTAGTCCTACATTATCCTGGATCTTCATTTGATTCAACAAACACTCACTGACCTGTCTGTGAAGCCCTGCATTTCCCTAAATACAGCCTAGCTCTGAGTTCTGCCTTGTCCCTTACCCACCTCAGCAGCACTTTCTAAAGTAGAACAGGTGGAGGAGGTGGTGGTGAGGGGCCCTTCCTCAAAGGAAAGCCAACAGAGTTTATGGTAATCCAAAGCTAGGGAGAGTGTAGAAATTTGGAAATCGAAACTGCAGGCCCTTTCTAGACTCTACTTGCCAGGAAGGCCCCATTCTAGGTACTTTCTAGACAAATAGGGCAGACTTCACGGATGTACCTCCCTGAGGATAAATGAGAGGCTCTGTCCCAGACCTACTCAAATGTAGCGACTGAGGAAGTAGAACTGTGGTGTTATGGGCCAGAGAAGAATGAAAGGAAATAAAGAGCAGTCTTTCTGTAGGATAATAACGTAACCCGCCTCTCCTTCCATCCTCCCAACTTTACCTTTCAGCAACCCCATACCAAAGAGAGAGCTCTTGTGTCACTTACATGGGGGAGGCAGCCACTCAGTGCTCTACTCTCTGCATCACCTCACCGACCTTCCAGCCCTCAGAGAGGAAGAGGTTCTCAAGCTCTTGCAGAAGGTGCCAGCCAAGGACCTGCAACACGAGCACGGTGAGATGCTGACGGAACAATCTGGCCAGGATCCCCTCTTGCACATATTTCCTGGCATGGAAGCTTTATCTAGATTGATCCCAGGGCTCTCTGTCAAGAAAGTGGTCCAGTAGGTGTCCTCCAAATTACTGCTATTAGAGCAGGGGATCTGAGTCCATTCCTCCCCTTTCTTGAGGTATAGGGAATCCCTACACAGCTCCACATCCTTTGTCCTGTGGAATCATCTCATAAACCACTGGCGTACCCTCATCCCAATGAAACAAAATGAGGAACTGTCCTCTGCATTCATAGCATGTCCTTGGAAGTTCTTAGTGAAGTCTTCATACCTCATAACTTTTCCCACAGTACAAAAATGTGCCCTCCTTTCCCCATTTCTCCATCATATGCTATTGAAACAGAGGTATGGACAAAGGATTTATCTGAAACAGTACCAAGCCTCATTTTAACTTTTGATCTTTGCTTGAAATTCAAAACCAGAACTGGCCAAATAGCTCA